TACGCTAGAAGAGTCAGAGTTTGGGACGGAGTCTTTTACCCCCTGGAGTGTTACCGGAGTTTCTGGAGTGCTCAAATAAACGGGCCTTTTTCCCGAACGCTCCTCTGGTCTCCTGCTCGTGAGGGATTCATTACAATATCGTAACATGGTTTAGATTTCTAAATAAACATTTACCTCGTCGCTAGATAGACCTACTCCTGAAAAACTCTTGTCTGCGCAAGGCTTTTTGTCCCTACGAGGCCACCGTCATTTACCCGACGGGAGGGGTGAGCGAGTGAGCCCTGCAATCTAGAATTTGACCACTGATGTCACTGTTTTCAACCCATTTTACACACTGGCCCTTTAATTAGGGATGCACGATATTAGATTTTTTGCCGATATCTGATATGCCAATATGTAACAGCTTATTTTGCCAATAATCTATACCGACATCATCTTATTATCAACATCCATATTTCATCAGCTGAATGTGACATCTGTCCAGTCTTTGCTTGCTATCAGATGTCACTCTCTGTCTCTTTCTGCATTTGGGGGGCTTGTTTGCAGCAGTGTAATATGTCCTGGCAGTCTGAGTACTGCTGGGTTTCTGTCTAATATGCAGGCAGGAAAAGATGGACCACATTTTCTGTAGGGCTGCACTTTTTTAAAATCAGCATCGCGATGTCAGCTTCGCAAACACTTCACAAATGACTACAATATTGCACTGAGAGAGTATAAACAGAAAGCATCACTTTAGAACAGAACTATCACTCTTTTTACTGCTGTCTTTTGTGTTCAGCGTTCAATTTGTCAATAAAAGAATGTCGGAAATCATTTCTTTCATTTTATTATTTTTGTAATTTAACAAGCACTTTGTTTGATTTTAGAACAAATTTTAGAACATTTTCATACAACAGAAAATTGAGCACACTTTTTCTGTTTCCTGATCACAAGTATTACCGTATATGTAATATTATGGCATATCTTCCTCATATCGTGCAACCCTAATTTGGTGGTGTGAGATCCTGAGCCCAGATCCAAGACCTTGGACAGTGCTGAGCAGTGTCAGATCCAAACGAAAGACCCTTCTTTTCTCACTTGCTTTTATTTTATTGTTTTGTCTTGTTTTACTCTGTCTTTATCTTTTTCTGTTGTTTTTATTGTGTTTCTTGTGCTTTAACCGGCGTAATTTGTAAAGAATTTAGGGTTATCATTTGGTATGAAATGTGCCATATAAATAAATTTGCCTTGCCTCGTTGGGCTGTTGACGACTAGTGTCTGGAACTTCTAAATAACGGAAAACAAAAACCAAAAACTAAAAGCTTTACGGTAGAAATGGCAACAGTGTCGTCGTTTTGCCAGCAGAGACTAAAACGTGTGCATGCAAACATGCTGAAATAAATGAGGAAACACTGCAAAGAAAAAAATTCCATAGTGCAATAGAAACTGTGACACTGCAGGTGTAAACAGACTGCAAATATCAAAACTCCACAGCAGCTGATTTCACCACCTCCTCTCTAGTCTGAGGCTAACCTACTCTATGTGTTGCGTAGACCTGTATCAGTGCAGGGCCGTGGACTACTGTTTACTGTAAAACCAGAAATCTCTCAAGTTCCTACAGTCTGTTTTTAGCCTCCCAGGATGCATCAGACTCATCACTTGTGTTAAAACGTGTCAGATCAGGAAACAGAGGCAACTCATTTTCAAAATAAAGTGACATGTTAAGCTGTCGGGCAGCTTCCTGTCTTGAGAGCAGGTTGCACTTTGACAAAGGGTTGTTTTTTTGTGGTTTCAGCTCTCTCCGCTGCTTCCTTCTCTCTCAGCCCACACTTTCCCCTCAGTGCATTTCTCAGTTCATATTAAATCGTGGAAACTGCCCGTATCAGATTAACATTTATTTCAGTTTGTCAGGGGTTCAAAGTGTGATTGCTAAACGAGTTTCCTCAATCAGACGAAACTTTAAAAGCCCAGCGAGGGAGAAATGCAAACGCTGGGAAAAGTGTCAAATATCAAATATCAAATTACCTAAACAACTGTATAATCGCTCTCTGGAACATGTTTTAGCTTGTCAGGACGTCGGAAACCTCAGCAGATGAGGATCAGATGTCTGAATGTCGGCCAGCAGCAGCAGCAGCTCTGACTCATCACGACTCCTCTGGAAACTCAGCTGATCTGAACGCCGTCAAAACAGCATAAGCTCCTAATGCGTATTTCATGGCTGACTGCTGACCTGGAAAAGCACTTATACCAGACACAAGACAGTACACACACACACACACACACTAACCATTGCACAATACCTCCTGGTTTCACAAACAGTTTCTGGCTTGTGATCAGATTTCCACATCCTTAAATCCTTGTGTAGCTCTTATTCAATAAAACGTCAATTTACCACATTAAGTGATGTTTTCCCAGTTTCAAGAGGATGGAGAGAGGTCTGGCTGGAGTGTAAAGAAATGATGTTACATTTCAAACCTGTACTGCCCTTAGGCACAGCCATGCTTTAAGCTAAATGCTAACATCAGGATCAGACAGTTTCCTCTTGTGATATTCTTGTCGTTCCTCGTCTGGACAAAATCAAAACTTCTTGCTGCTCGGTCACATCTCAGCAGCCCAGAGTGAAAACAAATTTGAAACATATCAGTATAACTTGATTTAGTTTGGATCAGACTGTTTAAATCAGTGTTGAGTAGTTAATAAATTGAATGGAAAAGTAAAATGTTTTCTATCCCACGTCCCTGCAGGTTCTGGTGCCTTGTTGTGGAAGTTTGACCGTCAGCAGCTACTCAGACTCTCAGTTCGACAGCTATGTCCTGCAGCCTGCGGAGGATGGATACCAGACTGTGGATGGAAAGGTTTGTCTAGCTTTACTTATAAACATCAGCTCCATCAGAGGCAACTCTGACAGGTGAATACACAAAAGGATCATGCAGCTTTTGCAGCTGCTAAACCTGCACAAATAAAACAAAAAGAAACTGTAATTCTCGAAGCACCTGCAGAGGGTGAGCTGCACTCTTAACTGTGCTGCCAAGCAAACTGTGTCTCTGAGCTCCTGTGATATTTGCACATGTTTAAATGAGGTAATGTGCATTCATTTGACACAAAAGAGGCCCCTTTCTGTGCAAATGAGCCTCATTACAAAAACAGTCCAATTCACAAAGATCAGCTCTCACAGGAAGTGAAAAGTAAAGTAATTAGAGTGTTTAAAATAACTACTGAGGACACAAAACAGCTTCTACAGAATATTAATGTCCATAAATCACCAGGGCCAGGTGTGATACATCCCAGGATTTTAAAGGAATTGGCGTGTATGATTGCTGAAGCTCTAACAGTATTGATTTAATCAATCATTAGAAGATTCAGTTTTACCCTCTGAATGGAACGAGGCAGCAGACATGTCTTTCATCAAGGCAGGTGAGCAGCCCAGACCACAACCAAGAGCTGCTAAAGGCTTACTCACCACCACACAGGACTGGCAGATGATGGCTGATCTGGGCAGGCAACTAAAGTAGAGATGTACTGATACCACTTTTTCCTTCCCAATATCGATTCCAATCCCTGAACCTTAGGTATCTGCCGATACCGAGTACCAATCCGATGCCAGCGCGTTAAATAAAAATGGATGGGATATGAATTGTTGTATGTCTCAACTCCCAAAACAATATGTAAAATATTAAGAAATAAATACATAATAGTAGAATAAATGCCATAAAACTTTTTATTATTATTATTATTATCCAGTGTTGACACAGATCAAGACACAGTTTAAAGTGCAGCCACACAATTTAGTAAAAACGACATTTTAAAGGCTGCAGTAGAATGCTTTTTAAACTCCGCTCTGTTTCCGTTGTGTTTGCCTGTAGCGTGCGTATGCGTAATGACGTGAGGCATTACTCGCCGATACCCAATACTGTATTTTAGGCAGCATCGGAGGCATTTCCGATACTGGTATCGTGATCGGTACAACTGTAAACTCAAGTTCCCAGCACACATCACAGTGACATCTTTGCGTCCTGGCATCATCATTCTGTCAGACGCCACTAAACAACTTGTCCTGATAGAGCTGACTGTGCCCTGGAAGAGGCATTTGAAAGGAAGGATGCTAAGTACCAGGGACTGGTGGAGGAATGCAGGTGGAGAGCATGCTGCCATCCAGCAGAAACAGACTGCAGAGAATTTGCCTTCCCAACCTACACCATGAAGAAATAAGCCATCGGGGCTGCGACAGATGCAGCAGAGAGAGCCTCCAGGTGGCTTTGGACAAAGAGGGGCGATCCGTGGATTAATGCTGCTGGGACGTAAGTCGGGGCTTGATCAACCCTGGCTGGGTCCCCTGGGCGAGGGTGTATGATGTTGCGAGAACCGAAACACCTGATGAACCCAGGATACGTCACTGATGATGTGTCCCAGCAAATAAGAGGCTCCTATTAAGCCCCGTTTCCACCAAACACTTTCGGTATAGCACCTTTGGAACCAACAGTAACCCTTCAGACATGGTACCTAGACCCTAGCATTCCCACTGCAAACAGTCCTCTTAAATGTGGGCGGCGTTGTTGTCACTCACTGCTCTGTCCAGCACTCGCTGTATTTCCTCATCAGCGGTGACACAGATGGAAGTCTGCACCTGGTTTATCGTCCACAGAACGAGGCTGCACGCCCACATTTTCAGAACAAAACAGAACAGGCTGCAGTGAGAGTCTCTCTCCATGGGATATAAAAAAATAGCAGCTTTGTGCATTTAGTCCTTCTCAGGCAAGCTCAGGGGTTTAGTGTTGCTGTACAAACAAACATTTAAATACTTAATTTTATATAACAGTGATACTGATGTGGGTGTTCTACTATCTACTATCTACTATAAATACTGTACTGTAATACTGTGTTTCAGGAGGTCAGGATCCAGGACAGGCAAGTCCTGCTGGGATCCGGCTTCCCGACTCCCTCGTCAGTCCCCATTCTGTTTGAGGAGACCTTCTACAATGATCAGGAGCAGAGCTACAGCATCCTGTGCATCTCCAGGCCCGTCGAGGTCGATCCGAGCCCGGCTGAGCCAGGCCCGCCGCCCCCCTACTGTCTGAAGAGCCTGGAGGATGTCAGGGAGTTCCTCGGCCGCCACGCCCAGAAACTGGACAAATTCATCCACGGCTTCTGTCAGGCCTTCAGAGAGCAGGAGAGGAAGGGACTCCGACACCACATAGTACGACTGATTCAACTTTCCTCCTCTGTCCTCTTCTTCACCGTCTTTGACATCTCTGTTCTCACTTACCAGCAGCAGTTCAAACAAAAACATTTTATTTTTCCTTTAACAGTAATAATAACCTGAAGAATAATTAAAGTTGATTTTAGAAGATGAAATATTTTAAGCTTCTCTACAGTCCTGACGATCCTCCTGTCCTCTCTCCTCTCAGGACTCTGTGAACGGTCTTTACACTAAATGTCTTCAGTGTCTGCTGAGAGACTCTCGCCTGGTGAGTAGACCCTGACCTGCAGGACCAACTGATGGAGATAACCCGAGCTGTTGGCTTAGAGATGTAGACTGGGTCTCAATTTTTAGGATTCTTTGAAAATAAATGCTTACACTGAATGACGTAACTGGTCGTTGAGCGATGTACCACTTTAAAGAATCTGAGAAATATTGTAGTTTCTCATTATCCACTTGTGTTGGTCAGTAGGAAAACTTCCATTTAGTAAAACTGGGGTTCATTGACAAAAATAATGTGTCCACAAGCTAATGTGATCATATCACATGAACCTTCTTCAGCAAATGGAGAATTGTAAACGTCCAAAATGACTTTTTCTGTTTAAATAATAGCAGTCACACATTGACGGTCCAGTGTGTAAGATTTACGGGGACATATTGGCAGAAATGGAATATAATACAATAAGTATGTTGTCTTTAGTGTATAATCACCTGAGAGTAAGACTCGGCAGTGCTGATCAAATATGAATCAAGATTCTGTCACTTCACTTGCTATTTCTCACCTCAGATGTTTTCAGAATCATATTTTAGTGACTGTTCAGCTGTAAAATGTGAAAGTTTGTGACCTGGCTGCAGTGTTGGAAACTAAGCCCCGCCCACCAGCAGGACCAACTTTCTCATGTTACAGCTAAACAGTACAACTTAACATGTGAGCTTTGGTTCTGCAGTACGTGCATCAGTCTGCATACTGGACACTTTGGTACAAATACACAAATTGTTACAGCTTTAGTAGAGATGGACTTGAAAAATTTGTGAACCTGTCCTTTAACTCCCCTGTTTGTTCTTGTCAGCAGCCTGAACATGATTTGCACCACAAATAAATGGATGTTTTAACTTGTCACACAGTTGTCCATCATGTGCTGGAGTTTCATGTCAGAACGTTTTCTGTGAGCTTTGGTATTGTGTCAAACTTTATCGCTTATTACGCTAGTATTTGTTGACCATTTTAGGACAACATGCTGGTGATAAACCTGGAAATTCATTTTGCCAACTGCATCATTAGTTTTGTGCTGTGTCTCAAATCGCATACTTCCATTAGTACACTTCTATGTAGTATACTATGTGCACTATGTACTTATTGGCGTAGTGCGTAAATTTGGACAGGGTAGTGTCTCAAACCAAACACAGCACTTACCGGAAATGACGGCCCCAAATTAGCTAGTTAGCAAACTAGCATTAGCATTCGCGTTATCGTTCGCGGTACCAAATCATTACAGACTGCTGAATTAACCCAACAAACATACTGCTGGCTTATACCTGACAACAGTATAGTGGTGCTTAGTGCAAAAAACACATGTATTTGTACAATGCAGCGATGTTCACGGTCGCACAGTCCTCTGCTACCATTTCCACTTTGAAAAGTGGTCCCTCCCCTTCCGCTACATAGCCAAGATGGCGACCATTGAGGGCGAGAAGTGTCCATAGTTCCACACTCAACTTCTTGACCGTTTTGAGTGCACCATCCGGGTACTCATAGCGCACTGCATTGTTCCATAATTCTCAGTGTGAATGCACTTATGCGCTCAAAATAATAAGTGTAAGTACAGAAGTACGTGATTTGAGACACAGCATTGGTCTCTGTGTGTCTGGTCTTGTTTGAGGAGGAGCAGTCTCAGGTTCTCTAGAGGCCTTCATGATCTGTGAATCCTTGAATCATGACACAAACATGTAGATCAGTAATAACACCGCAGGACACAGGATGTCTTGTTAGGCTCTGGGGAGTCTAATAAGATCCTCTGCATGCTTCTCTTGTCTCAATTTTCTGCCTAATCACAGTAACAGGAGGAGCTGTTGCATCACATCCTAAATGGTGACTAAGACATTCGCTGCTCTGATGAATGTGTTGTTTTTCTACAGAAACTTCTGGCGAAGCAGGAGCTTCAGATGACTCTTCTCAAACAGGCAGTAGAGGTAACATCACTACGATCAGTACAGATCAGCTTCACTGTCTCTAGTTTCAGTAAAGACGTGTTCATGGATTAAAGTTGAAGTTTGTTTCTGAGGCACATCACATGGAAACGGATCCCACTAACAGAGGACATAAATATATCCATGTAAACACAGCTGAAAATGAAGCCATTGACTTTGATTATGTGCAGTCCAACAGACTCACATAATCAAAGTCCTTTGCTAATAAAACTGATGCTAGTGTTAAATTGTGAGTTTGCTTTCTCACAGCTGTAAACTAAAAGGTTTCTTTTTTTCTTCTTATCCTAGATGTATGTTCATCATGGTATCCATGATTTAATTTTTAACTTTGTGGGAACGCTTGAAGCCAGCCAGGTATGTTTGCTCTCACTGTTCTGTCACACTGATGGTTGAATTTACAAAGATTGAAGCTGTTGAAAGCACCATGAATTGTGCATCACTTGCAGCCGGTCTCTGGTCTGATTCACAGAAGATATTCCTCTCATGATATTAACAGCACAAACACGCTCATACAGTGTTACAGCTGAGGGGATTTTACCCTTTTTGTGTCTGATTGTAATTATCTATGTAGCAAAATATAAAAGTTGTGATGGTGAGAGAAGAAATAAAACAGTGAACTCCAGAGCTGCTTTCTGCCTAAAGAAGTGTTTCATACTTATCTGTATGGACAGATGACACTGGGGGTTAGTGACTGTTGTGACAAAGCTCAGGGACTTAATGCTGTTAGACATTATAGCACATTTCTAGAAAGCGCTCAAACTTTTAAAACACTCTTGGACAGTGTGGAACATCTCAAACTGAGGGCAGATTTGAAAGTTAAACGAAGTGCCCTTTCTTTATTTTGTTGTCTCTCTTTGGTTTTGCCACAATGAAAGTTTCCCATTAATGACTGAAAGATGCAGTGGAAACAGATGTGGCTGTACTTGTGTGTGTCAGTGATGTGTCACAGAGCTGATCTCATGTCTGTTCTGCTGCTCGTCAACAGGACGCTGCCTTCAACAAAATCACCAGGAGTCTGCAGGACCTGCAGCAGAAAGAGCTGGGAGTCAAAGCTGACTTCAGGTCAGTTCAACATGAGGCACCTGATGGTTGATGTGTTGTCTGTTTATGATCCACTGACTGGACTAGTGTCTGCCATTATGGAAGTGAAAAGGTCAAAGTGAGATAACAGATAAGGAGGAGTTTCCTTTATGTTTTTGCTGATGTTGGGTTGTGTGGTGCTGCACTGATGCATTCAAGAATACTCAGATGTCTGAGAACTTATATGCATCTGCCACAAATAACTGCACTGATGAGCCATATGGTTCAAAAATCAAATCTAGAAAACTTTTTCTTGAGTGATGATGTGAATTTGGTATTTTTTTCCATCACAAAGTTCTCTGTCAGTGTTGAATGACCAGCTGAAGGCGCACCTGTGTAGTAATGGTGCTATGTCATAAGCATCTTGATATGCCACACCTGTCAGGTGGATCCTGTAAAAAAACGAACACTGCCCCCCAACATGGATTTTTAACACATTTGCAACCAAAATTTGAGAGAAATAAGTCTTTTTGTGTGCATAAAAACCTCTTACATTTTTAACTACACTCATGAAAAATGGGAGCAAAAGCAAAAGAGTTGCATTTTTATTTCTGTTGAGTGTATCTTTGATCTGTAACCTGCTGCTTCTGTCATGTTTCTGCAGTATAAACTTGTCTCGGGCAAAGAGAGAGCTGAGTCAGCTCAACCAGCAGACCTCCCCCCTCCTCAAACTGCTCTGCCTGCGGAGAGTCACCCTGACCGCCACCCAGACCCCGAGAGGCACTGGTATGCACCGTCTGTCTGTCTTTCTGTCTGTGTGTGTGTGAATATATATCTGTTTATTAAATCTCCACCTCTTCAGTTTTCTGATCTCTGTGTCAGGATCAGAATCTGAATATGATAAAAAAAAATATAAATATTAACCGCCATGAATGATGTTTCGCTTATAAATACGGTTGAATTTAGTATGTTGAGCCAAATTAATCTGAAGGCTTGAACTTCATTTTCACCACAACATACACCTCTTAACACTCTTATCACATTTATAAGATAAAATGTACTTTTTTTTTTAAATATTATTTTTTATTGATGATAATGTATTTCAACCTGAACATACAAACCTCAACAAAAATCCCCCCCAAAACCCTACCAAAGCAAACACACACACACACACACACACACACACACACGAAAGAGGGATCTTGACACCTAAATTCAACATAGTCAAGAGTTAATAACACAAAAGCACACAGCAATACATATCATCCATGTATGATTATCAGACACAGCTCATCTCGAGAGTACGCAGGAACAAGAAAACTATAAAGGACGAAGGGGAAACATCCACATGCACTCACTGAGTCCAGATATTTCAAAAGAGGAGCCGAAGATTCTTCCCATTATACTCACATTCTGGATGATTAAATCGCAGTTTCTCCATGTGAATAACCAAAACAATTTCACACAGCCACTTTCTGAGGCATTGTGTCTTCCAGTCTTTTAAAATGAGTTTTTTGGCTAGCACCATGCCCATTGAAGGAGCTGTCTGCATGTATGATGGAAGTGTTAAAGAGTCCTTTGAACATCCAAAAAGAGCCTGTCCCTGTCAGGAGAGAGCGTCCTATGTTTAACCCCCCTGTAGGAACAAAAAAAGGCCGCTGAGGCCGCTTGCTGACGCGTCACTCCAGAGAAAATTAAAAAGAAAAGGACGCTGAATTTGTCTTGAAAGTGATCCAGGTTTATTGTAACAAAAGGATAAAAAAAAAGCAGCAATCAATTATTATAATGCAAAAATAAAACAACAAACAATAAGTACTTGTGTGGCTAAAACAAATGGGAAACGGTGACGGTCAACAAAAAATATATCCGCTTACTATAGGAACGCTTTCCTTTGTCCGACTCCCGCCACCACACAACCCACTAAAAAAACAAAAAGCCACACCCATAAGCCCCAACATGATGATGTAACATAAGCATAATTTCTATTATTTAAACTTATCCATAACATAAACTTAAAGTTCATTATAAGTAAGTAAAAGCAAATATATATTATTTTGGCTGCTACACCCCCACAATTAGGCTACACAATATTGAGGGAAAAGAATTCTTCCTCGAAATAGGATAGAAATGGTTGCCAGACTTTATAATATTTATGGGTAGTCCCCCGGACGGTGTGTTTAAGCTGCTCAAGTATAAGATGTGAAATCACCACCTCCACCCAATGCCTATGAGACGGAGGTGTAACCTTCTTCCAACTAAGGAGTTTCAGACGTCTAGCAAGTGGGGTGGAGAATGCTATAGCCCCAGCCTAGTGCTTTGTTATCGATGTCTCCTGAGGGACTACCCCAAATAATGCATTCAGTGGGTTGGGACCGATAACCTTATATATGAAAATGTATTAAATATATACCTGTCCAAAACAGAGTCAGTTTAGGGCACAACCAAAGCATGATGTGACTGAGGCTAGCTGGGTCCTGCCTGCATCTAATGCAAGTCGGGTCTAAACCAGGGTAGAGTTTGATAGATGTAACCTGTGCAGAACCTTAAACTGCAGCAACCCATGCCTAATACATATTGATGAGGAGTGTACCAATGTAACTGCTGCCTGCCAGTTTATATCTGATATGGTAGTTCTTCCTCCCATTGCCTCGCTAAATGGTTAAGTGATATGGATGCAACCCTCTGGACATTATCATGTAATACAGACACCAGACCTCTGTCAGCTGGATCCATACTCAAACATTCATCTATCCATGTACTCTGAGGGGTAGTTTGAGAGAAGTGTGTTTTAGCATAACTCCGTACCTGTACATACCTAAAGAAATCTGACTGGGGGATATTAAAATCCTTTCCTTAAAATTCTTTAGCTGTTCAAAAGAAATGAAATGCCCTTCCTTAAAAAGGTCCTTCACACACTCAATCCCTCTCCTATGCCACAATTGAAAAGATGAATCTGTGAGAGATGCAGCAAAATTGATGTTTGCTAGAATACAAAACATGAATCCTAAACTGAGACCATATCTTCAGACAGCCAGAAACGATTGGGTCGTTCGTCCAATAGCGTTTGCTTAAGGGTAGTGGGGAACATATTAAAGAGCGAAGTGAAACAGGATTACTCGAATACTGCTCCATTCGACACCAAACCGGAGAGTCATCATCTGATACATCAGAGACCCAGAACATCAGCTTGTGAATTTATGTTTCTGTAAATCTAATCGTTTTAAATTCAGCTGCAAACAAAATCACATGCAAGTTCAGAAGTGTGAAAGTGAAACTTGCCTGCTTCTCTTTTTCTATATTTCTATCTTCTGTTCTTGTCACACATTTATGTATGATGTGATTTATGTATATGTGAAGTATGTGTGTGATGAAGGGCACATCAGAGACAAAGTGTGACTTGTATACAAACTCAACTGTATTTATTTATATAGCACCTTTTAATACAACCCTGCCCCCAAAGTGCTTCACATAAATACAATAAAGACATAACATTTTGCATGACCAGAATTTGTAACGACAATAAAATGCTAAAAATCAGTAAATATATAAAATAAACACAAAGGATAAAAATGATGTTTACTCCAAATGAAAAGCCATATTTAAGGTTAGTAATTCAGCCGGTCACCTCACTGTACTGGCACACTGAACTCTCCGTGATCTCCTCTCACTGTCTGTAATCAGATCAGCACGCAGGACAATACCTGCCCTGTCAGCCTCTCATGAGTTTGTACAGTTTGCTTTAGAAATCTAAGCTTATTGGCCCACAACAGCTGCCGCTGTCAGCCTGCAGAGTGGTACGATCCGCTCCTTATTAATGTTTGTCAAGTGCCCAATTTAATCATTTAGTTTGGACAGAGGGAGAGTGTAGGGCAGCGTCAGGACTTCATGAATTTGTTTGTGTGCTGTCAGTGTTTCACTTAACTGAGTGTGTGTGTGTCTCTGCAGTCAGTATCGAGGCTGTGTGTGCAGATGACCTGCTCTCCGTCATCCTCTATCTGCTGGTGAAGACGGAAATTCCCAACTGGTGAGCAGGGAGGGGGGGACTCACTGTGACCTCTGACCTTGTGGGTTGTGTTCAGGAAACAAAGAAGCTGATTCCTGGAGTAAACGTCCAGTGGTGTCAATCTGTCATCAGTCGTGTGGAGGGAACTGAAAGAGGACGACACAGAAAGTGAAAACTAAGCAGACATGAGAGCAGCTTAACAAAGGCAGAGTGGTAGTTTGAGCTAAATGCTAACACATCTTAGCTCTAAACCAGGACACATTCGTTGACCTGATGATGACGCTACAGTTACTGCATGTCATCACAACCCATCCAACAGTCGTTGAGATATTTCACTGAAAACCACAAATGAAATGTGAGCCACATGGTTGTGTCAAGTGCCCAACCGTAAATCAGACTTAAGAAGTTGAAATAAACTCAACCATCTTTATTCAACGCTCCTTTTTTACTCAGGTTTTTTAGTGATATCTGCAAAGTTGTGGTCTTGGCAGGTCTTGAAATTAAATCCAGAGTCCTCTTTGTATGAGACTGAGTGGAGATTAGGTAAGAATGAGGTCAAGTCAAATACAAGTACTTTAAAAAGTGGTCTTGAGACTGGCTTTGAGACCAAGACGGATCTCCTGTACTTCAGCAGTGATGTGTTCAGTACTTTGGTTCAGACTAAAAAATCTCAACAACCTTTGCATGAATTGCCATTAAATTTTGTACAGGCAGTCATATTCCCCTGAAAATGAAACCTGCTTACTCCAATGATTGCCTAACTTTGTAATCTAGCAGAGTGACACATTGTGGTTCAGAATGAAATATCTCGTCTGACTCAGACACTGATGTTCCCCTCGGCTGAGTTGTAATGACGTTGGTGATCCTCTGTCTTTTCATCCAGTGCCACCATCAAGTCAACACTTGAAATTGCCCAGTACTTCATTAGATTTTCATCTGTCTAATTTTCTTCACAATAAGCACTACAGCCTCACAGAGCTGACTTGTTTTTTTAATCATGTAACATCACTTGTTGTGCAGTGATTCCCCTCAGCAGCTTGTTTGAAAAAATTCCAGGTTCAGAAACACCTTTAGATGAAATTGATTTATGTATTTTTGCCTTCAGCATCAGCATAAAGACATGACTGATAAATAATGTGCAAAAACGGGGCAAAAATGCTCGACAGAAACGTCTTACATCTGCCATAGCTTCCTTCAATAGATCTGACCTGCTTGATTTTGGAACATCTTCCTGCACGAGTCACTTGTGTGTGATTATAGCATTTATTAAATTGCTCTAATGGCTCTATTTTTGGTAGAAAAATTGGAGTATTGAGGTGATAATGTGTGCAGTCTTTGATTTCAACACATTCACATACAACACCTAGCTGTTGCTCTGTAGCCTCGGTGTGACTTCACATCACTATAGAGCAATGACCTGGTGAAGATACTGCACAAGATAAAACATAATAAACCAAATCTCATGGTTCCTGGTCTGCAGAACCTCAGTGTTACCTCTTCAATATCTGTGTGTGGTCCTTTGAGCCATTGATCTGATAAACAGTGACAACTGCTGCAGGAAATGTTTTCCAGCTGTGAAGGTGGTAATCGTGTCATTTTGTCCTCAGGATGGCCAACCTGAGCTACATCCGGAACTTCTGCTTCAGCCACTCCAGCAAAGATGAACTCAGCTACTGTCTGAGCACTTTCGAGGCTGCAGTGGAATACATCAACCTGGGGAAGCTGCAGGACTCACACTCTGTGAGTCACACACAACAGGACTTTTATTCCAGTTATCCCTGTTTTGTTTCCCAGCAGCGTTTGATGTTAATGAAGCTTGTCCGTGTATTCTTGTTTGTGTCCGCTCAGGGCTCGGGTGAGCTGAATGACAAGGCGTTGTTCAAGGAGAGGATGAGTCTGCTGTTTCAGAGCGCTGCCACGCCCATCCACTGTCTGTTTGAGGTGAGCTCAGGAAACAAATTAAAACAGACTGACTCAATATTTAGAGTGCAGCTGCATTAATGTGGTTCAGTGATTATAATAAACTTTATTTATACAGCACCACTCATACGAGAAATGCAGAAAGTGCTTTACAGTAAGGGCATTATAAGCACTGAGCGCTTTACATGGAAATAGACATAAAATAGACAAGGAAATTCAATATGAAAGGACATTTCATTTAAAAGTGTTGCTGATTTGAGATCCTATTAATTGAAATCACACAGTATTTCTCCTTGTGTCACCTTATAGGCCTTCTGACGTCATTAACAATCAGAGCCTATAATTCCCAACAGGCACAGACTTGCCAACAGACACTGATAAACCGAAAGTGTTTTCTCAAGAGTTAACCTCACCGCGGGTATTGTCTGTGCCGAGTATGGCCCACAGCTGCCCCAGAATCGACTACCACTCAGCTGTGGCACTGTGGATCAAATAGAGCTCACCACAGCAAGCACAGCCAGTTAGCCTCCGCTAGTCTCTGAGCTAGCCCCAGCTCTCTATTTGGATCCAACCGGAGCACCGAGCCCTGGTTTGTAATTCAGGTTAAAGTGGGAAGAAGCAGCGGGTTTATTGGGCAGCTGAGTGAAGTGGAGCCTGCGGAGGAAACACCGGGACCGTCTGGATGTAATAGTCTGTGGAGGTGCTGCGGTGCTCGGCTGCACAGATAAGAAACCCCTCAGCTGACAGGATGTACCACTCTCTCACTACGCTCTCTCTCACGCAGAACGTACGTACAACTTGGCCATCGGATGTAGTCCGGGTAGTGCGTTCAAATGCAACTGACACAGGGCGACATGAGGCGATGTAGACGACGCATCAGTTGGCTTTCGTTGCCGCTAGTTCTTTGATGCCGGTTTGGTGTGTCTGCACCTTTAGAGCTGCTCCCTGACAAAGAATTTTCCTAGTCGACCAATCGTCATCACTTCGGGCCATCAGTCGACTACTCACCCGCATGTTTACAATGTACATTTGATTATTAAATTATATATTGTGGGCGGGGCAACACAATGGTTTGAGTTGAAGGTGTGAGAAAGAATAGTATCAGTAACATTGTCAACACTGTGCTACATTACAGAGAAATACAAACCGTACTAATGAACCTTCATTAATATAGGCCTATATTTTATCTACAAGTGCACGTCACACACTGAGCGAGCCGCCTGCTAATGACGCTGTGGGCTAATGGGCATGTAGCTACTTCCATGTCTCAGATGATCCGTCATGTTTGTAGTCGACCAATGAAGATGAGTTTACATATCACCTTGGGTTCGTCCTTCACCTTCTCAAAATGATCCCACACTTTGGATTTCCTGCCCGACATGTTATTAACTAGCCTGTGGAATAACCGCAGGTACCAGCCCTGGAAATTAACCTGACTCCTGTCTGACTGCTGAGCGTGGACACTTCCTGTGTCTGTCCTTTCAAATTAAAGTCACACATGGTCCAGTCATATAGGTTTTCTTTTTTTTTTGACAAGGCACAGCTCCTGATAGAGTTTTACTTTTTTTTCTGTGACTAGGCGACCAAAGAAATCTTGCCGACTAATGACCTTTCTGGTTGACTAACGTTTAGTCGACTATTAGGGGGCAGCCCTAAACATTATACATGTATTAATCATTTGTTATTTGTGTTTCTGTGATACCGCCTGGGCGCTGTGACACCCAGCAGTTTGCACTGGCTGAATTTGAGAACTTAAAATTCTTCCTCTTTTGAGCCCAAAACTATTTCAGATGTCAATAATGTATCTGGTGTCTGAATGATGCTGTTTATATCTCTGTTGCAGTAGTTACTATTGAAGGAAAGAAGAAAAACATCAATATAACAGCTGATTCATAACTTTCCAACAGTTCTGTATAAGTCTACACACATGCAATCACACAAACACACTAGTGTTTTTTCTATTGATTTACAGAAATGATCATTTTCACAAATTATGAACCAGTTTGGAATTTGACCCGACAAAGCTCTGCCCATTTGCTGACTCACCCGGAAAAAAACCCAGTAAACTGGATGTTTTTACGCCTCACTGAGTCAGTACACACACACACACACACACACACACACACACACACACTGAAGGACGGACGATAGGATTTACCTTCAGACCAAAACAACCACTTCCTCTGAGAGAGGTCAGCTACAGGAGGGAATACTGGGAATACTGGAATATGACCACTTCAACCAGCTGCTGACTGCACACACTGAACCAGAGTTTTACAAGAAAACAAAGACTCAAAGTGAAAGTAACTTTCAGGGAACAGGGAGTGACTGAGCTGTCTGCCTGATGTGTGTCAGCTTCACTCAAAGACTAAATGGCTTCAAGATTAGAGGAAGATTTCTGCTGTTCTGTCTGTCAGGACATCTTTAAAGATCCTGTCATACTGTCATGTAGCCACAGCTTCTGTAAAGACTGTCTGCAGAGCTGGTGGAAAGAGAAACAAACACGGGAGTGTCCAGTTTGTAAAAGAAGACATTCAAAGGAAAAACTACCTCCTAACTTTGCTTTACAGAACCTTTGTGAGAGTTTCTTACAGGAGAGAGATCAGAGAGCTTCAGAGGCTCTCTGCAGTCTGCACTCTGAGAAACTCAAACTCTTCTGTCTGAACCATCAGCAGCCGGTGTGTGTCGTCTGCAGAGATTCAGATAAACACACCAACCACAGATTCAAACCCATCGATGAAGCTGCTCCACAACACAGGAAGGAACTTCAGGAAACTCTGGAGCCCTTAAAGAAGAAGTTAAAGGATTTTGAACAGGTTAAAGTGAAGTATGATCAAACAGCAGAACACATTCAGGTCCAGGCCCGACGCACAGAGAGGCAGATTAAGGAGCAGTTTAAGAAGCTTCACCAGTTTCTAGAGGAGGAAGAGGAGGCCAGGATGGCTGCACTGAGGGAGGAAGAGGAGCAGAAGAGTCAGATGATGAAGGAGAAGATGGAGGCTCTGAGCAGAGAGATAGCAGCTCTTTCAGACACAGTCAGAGCCACAGAGGACGAGCTGAGAGCTGAAGACGTCTCATTCCTGCTCAACTACAAGGCTGCAGTGGACAGAGTCCAGCAGCGCCCCCTGCTGGATGATCCACAGCTGCCCTCAGGAGCTCTGATAGACGAGGCCAAACACCTGGGCAACCTGACCTTCAATATCTGGAACAAGATGAGGAACGTGGTCTCCTACACTCCTGTGATTCTGGACCCAAACACTGCTGGTACAAGACTCATCCTGTCTGAAGATCTGACCAGTGTGACACTGGGTGAGGAGAAACAGCAGCTTCCTGATAATCCAGAGAGGTTTGATGGTTACTACTGGTCTGTCCTGAGCTCCAAGGGCTTTAACTCAGGGACTCACAGCTGGGATGTCGAAGTTGGAGACAGTAAACGTTGGTCACTGGGTGTGTCAGCGGAGTCTGTCCAGAGGAAGGGACCCATACAGTCTGGATTATGGACAGTATGTCTCAGTTATGGTGAATACTCAGCTCTCTCCCCATCAGATCCACCCACTGGTCTCAGTGTGCAGAAGAAGCTCCAGAGGATCAGAGTGATTTTGGACCGGGACAGAGGAATGCTCTCGTTCTTTGATCCTGATACTAACACACACATACACACCTTCACACACACTTTCACTGAGAGACTGTTTCCATACATTAACACTATGGATAAAGTGAAGATTTTACCCGTGAAGGTCTTTGTGACTGTAGAACTACATAAATGACTATGAGGAACATCAATCAGTTCATGCTTTCAAGTCACACTGGCTTTTCTTCTCTGAGACTTTGAAGAACATGTGACTTTGTTGTCCTGATGTTGGCTGTCATGGTGGAGAGGATGACCTCTACATTGTAAAAACAACTAAGAAAACGTTTGCGATTAAAAAAAGAAAAAACAACTTTTTATTTGATGTGATGAAACAGGCATGCAGGACATTTACTGTGTCAATAGTTTTACTGGTAACAATTAATAGTTTTAATCCAGAAAAAAGCGGATGTATTAATTTCCAAAAAGGTGCATGAGTCGCTTGCTTTGCCATTTTGACCGCAATTAAGTACAGCATTAATTTAATTAGTGGAGATATTTTGCTTGTAGAAACATTCTCAGTGTTGTAAGTTCGTAACTTCATGCAAAACTCACACAGTTAATGTAGGTGAAGCATTTTTGTTCCCTTGTTACTATAAAATGAAATCTGAAGGTTTGGTTTTTCTAAAAGTGTAATGTCCATTTTGTGGTGTTCATGTTAAAAAGAAAAAAATTCATAATCCTCTGACTCCGCTTGCTATATTTTTTGAAGGGTTAATTGCAAGCAGACAACCAATTACCAAACAAGAAAAGAATATATCACAGTATATACTGATTTTGGCCGCCACCTTGGTTAAAGTGTGTGTGTGCGCACGGGAGGCTCCCAGATGTAGCGTCTTTTGTGCGCACAAACCCATTACTTTCAATGTAGATGCACGTCATGCACGCTCACAACCCAAAGCAACGCTGTGGCGGGGCGCATTCGGTGCGACGCACTTGTTTTTTCATCTGGCACACAGCTCCATGGACCTGCTTCTCCCTCCAGTGTTGTGTCAGATCTTGGTTCCCACTCGGGCGAAGGAAGCCCGTGTGTGGAAAGACGGATGTAGAATGTGTATTATAAAAGAGAAACACACATTTCAGGACCGCTGACTTGTATCATCAGAACAGACATGTCCTGTGATTTTCAGCCTCCTTTCATATTTAATAGAGGGGGGACAATACCTGACAGTAATGTTCTCAGCTGTCAGGATGTGCCTGATGTAAAGGTTAAATATAATCAAGACTGAAAATCACAGACATGTCTGTTCTGATTATACAAGTCAGCAGTGTAAAGCTCAAGCATGTGGGGGCCTCCTTTCATATTTAATAGAGGGGGGACCGTATCTAAAAGTACATCTGTCAAGACGCCCCCTGCCACAGGCCTTTGCCACCTTGGTCTCGAAAACCCCAGGGAAGACCCTGAGATAGAAAGACTATTGGGGGTTTACAGCAGTTTAAACAGCAACTTAAGACCTTCTTTCCTCATTACTCTTTTCAAACAGTGTGTACCCTATTAAGTTTTCTTAAACTACTTTACATCGTGAAAAAGGGATGTTTAACAAAGGTTTACGTTATTAAATTGGGAGACATTCCAGTACATTGTTTTTAACTTGGTTTGGAGACCAGGCATTCTTCAAGACGTCTTTAAATGACCACTTGCTTTTTAATAACCAGCATTTACTTGTATTTCTACTTTCAATACTTATCGTAAAATTGCTTTTGATACTTAAGTACAGTAAATATCAGATACTTAAAAGTATAATATTCTAATTGGTGACTTTAACTTCTACTGAAGTCATTTTCGGGTAAGATATCTGTACTTTTACTCAAGTTTGGCTTCCAGGTACTTCATCCAACGTATTTCCTTATCTAGAGAAATGGCGGCATGGCAGTATGCTGATTGCAGATAGCAGACAAGCGCCTGTCAGTTTATAATTATTCAAATTCACCAACATAGGCACAGTGGTAAGAACAAAATGGCTCATGTGCCATAAATTAGATGGCAATTTTGCGTGTGCTCTTATTTTATGCGCAGAGTAAGAACATTTCTATGCACTTATTATTCAATGAGGTCCAGTGACATTTGGTGTTCTGGGGAGCCTCGACGTTTCTTAGTTCAACATTCTGTGGTCCTGCAGTTGATTCAAGGGTTTCAATTCACAATAGATAAGAATAAATGAATGAATATAAGAATATTGTATTAATTTCTCCCATGATGTGTGTATATGTGTGTGTGTGTGTGTGTGTGTATGTGTTGTAGCACATCGCAAATGGAAACGAAGGGGAGGTGGAACGTCTGCTGAGTGAAGGAGAGATCAACGAGGACGTCAGGATGTGTCATCCCCTCTGCTCCTGTGACCTTTGTGACCTCCAGCTGTCTGGGTCAGCACACACACACACATGCACACACACACACACACACACACACACACAGGAAAGATAAACATCAATGAAGCCACTTTAAGAATCATTTTTTACTGGAAATGACACAAAGACGTCATGTTTTTGCCCAGAAAGTCCCTCTAGTTTTCTTTTCTCGTCTACTCGAGTTCATTTCCCCTTTTTTCCTTTTTTATGTTGCACCAGAGCTCATCGAATCAGGAACAAAAAGCTGTTTTGCGCTTTCACTTCCCACTCAAACCAATACACACACACACACACACACATACACATAGTACACAGCTTTTAATTTGTGAAATTCAGAGCAGTTTGTGCTGAACTTCTCGTGGCTGTAAAATGTTCAGAGACATCTACAGTGGCCCAGAGGGGACATGAGTCAGATTTACAGATAATACTTGACATGACGTCGAGGAAACTGTGAGATAGGTGTGATTTTACAGCATTTTAAGATCATTTAAATTTTTTCTAAATCTTTAATAAATTCCCTCAACCACTCATTCCTGTAGCTGAGATCAGTTTTCTGCCCCCTTGACTGAGCAATGCTCTGAAAAATACATGCCGAGCAGTCACTGGTGCACGGAGCGGAGTCCGCGCGGTCGTAAAATCTGGGCTTTGCTCGCACAGGGCTTGCGGACGTCCGCTTTGAGTCCGCGAGGACCTCCGCGGAGTCCGTTACGCTCGAGTATGTTCGGGCCTTAAGGCAGTGATAGAAAGTATCTAAGTATGTTTATTCAAGTACTGTACTTACGTACAATTTAAAGGTACTTGTACCTTACTCGAGCATTTCCGTTTTCTCCTCCGTTATACTTCTACTCCACTACATCTCAGCGGGAAACATTGTGCTTTTGACTGCACTACATTTACTTAATGACTTTGCAGTTTCAGATTAATATTAAAGTGATATAATATTATGGATAAAGATAAAACGTGAAAAATGAGCTCCACATTTACCAGCTGCAACATTAAAGTGATCTAAAGTGAAACAGATTAATATATGGTAGTTCAACATGGCTGTCTCCGTAGACGAGGACCCACTCACTGTGTAGATATAAACGGCTGATTTTAAGGTAACGAAATCACAATGATTCTTATTTTCAGGTGATTATATGGTAAAGAAAACATACTTATTATTATTATATTCCATTTCTGCCCATATATCCCCCTGAATTATACACACTGGACTTTTAAGTAAAATGGTGAATGCAAGAATTTTCCTTGTGACAGAGTATTTCCACACTGTGGCATTTTTCTTAAGTGAAAGTTCTGAGCACTTCTTCCACCGCTGCTGTGACCTAACCTTGGTTGCTTACTTCCTGTTGTAGGCGGTTGAACGACCCATCCATCGTGACACCATTCTCTAGAGACGACAGAGGTTATACTCCGCTGCACGTCGCTGCCATCTGCGGTGAGCAGCTGTTAATGCACACACACAAAACATCAGATTATTTCAAGATAATTTTAACCATAATTTACGTGCGTGTGTTTGTGTGTGCGGCAGGTCAAGCCCAGCTGATCGACCTGCTGGTGTCGAAAGGAGCGCCGGTCAACGCCACAGACTACCACGTCCTCACACCGCTGCACCTGGCCTGCCAGCGGGGGTACCAGGGAGTCACGGTGAAAACACACACTCTTGCAATACAGTATCTGACTGTGTGTGTGATCCATGATACAGCACTTCATTTACATTAAGAGAATGACTTGATGCAGCTGAAATCCATGAATTACAATACAGTTACTAAATTACAAAACAAAGAGATCTTAAGAAAGATAAATAAAGATATTTGCAGATTAATTAAGATTAACAGAAAACAAAGGCAACGATACCATGTAATACAAACAGAATACATTAAACTTAATCATTAATGTCGTCTCTGTCCTCCAGCTGCTGCTGCTGCACTACAAGGCCAACACGGACGCTCAGGACAACAATGGAAACACGCCACTTCACCTCGCCTGCATGTATGGACACGAGGATGTGAGTCAAACAATCAAATTTTTAACTCGATGTTAAACAATTTTCAGCCCAGATCCTGTTTTATCTTACTATTTTATGACGAAAACTCTGTGTGTGTGTGTGTGTGTGTGTGTGTGTGTGTGTGTGTGTGTGTGTGTGTGTGTCTGTTCCATGTTTTTCTCCTCACTGACTTGGTCAATCCATGTGAAATTTGGCACAGTGGTAGAGGGTCATGGGAGGATGCCAATGAAGCAATATTACATCAATTGGCCAAAGGGGGGCGCTATAGCAACCCACTGAAATTGCAAACTTTGAATGGGCATATCTCATGCCCCGTATGTCGTAGAGACATGAAACTTTGCACAGAGATGCCTCTCCTCATGAGGAACACATTTGCCTCAAGAACCCATAACTTCCGCTTATATAGATTTTCCGCCATTTTGAATTTTTTGAAAAACACTTCAAATGGATCTCTTCCTAGGAAGTTTGAGCGATCTGCATGAAACTGGGTGAACATAATCTAGGGACCAATATCTAAAGTTCCCTCTTGGCAAAAGTTGGAAAACTTACTAAAACTGAGCTTTTATAAGGCAATGAATATTGTGGAGGGCGTGGCTCATCACATAAAGGTGTATAACATCTCAAGGGTTTCACCCATCACCACGCAACTTTGTAGGCATATGACCACACATAATCTGAGGGGACCCCTCCATTATTGACCCCATCAAACAAAATGGGGGCGCTAGAGAGCTAATTTCTTATCTAGGCCTAACCGCCATATGGATTTTTACTGAACTTGGTAGATATGTAGAACAGGACGCCTCAAGGTGACTGGAGAAATTTAACTCTAATTGGCAACTGGGTGGCGCTATAACAACAGAGAAATGCTTAAAAATGGCTAAAATGTGACCGATTGCTGTGGCTCCCCCTGTGGACCAATGTTGTTGCTTTTTTTCTAATTATGACTAAGTCATGGCATGGTATGCTGCTGCAACAAGGGCTAGCCGCACCTTTCCCATGTGAACTACCAGTGCGCCCCACTTTTAGGTCAATACAACATATAAACACTTTAACTATCTGCCTTTCAACGTGCTACCTCAACTACTAATGTACAGTTTTAGCCCACTAACTATCCCACTATTGGCATTGGTACTACCGTACTTTCAATAAAGCAATGGTACTATCAAATTCACAAAAACTCTGTCTGAATACATTGCTCTTCTTAATCTGCAATTTCCTATGACCTGTATCCCAAACACACACTATGTGAAACTGTACGTGGGCAACTGTGCACTCAATGGGTATGGACTAGTTATTATTAATTATTTAGTTCAGAGGTTCCAAACCCTTTTTGCTAATGTCCCGTTTAAGATGTACTCTTAAATAATAATTAAGATATATTTTCTTAAAAATGTATAGACTCAAGCAGAAGTAAACCCTCTCAGTCATTACTTAGAGTATGACCCATTAGAAGCGGGAAGCGACCACCAGATGCTGGACTGTAAGCAGCCGTCATCCAAGAGGAAGCTATGAAAACTGCAGACACAATGCAGGAAAAAAACACAAAATGCCCACCGGCCAAAGCTTGTTCCAAAACAAGAGTTAATATGAGATCAATCTGGAAATCCANAAAAAAAAAAAAAAAAAGGTGTTTTTTTTTTTTTTTTACTTCCTCTACAATGTAAATTGCAGAATCTGTCTTGAGAGATCAATGTGAGCTTGGCTTTCACTTTTCACTCTTTTTTTGTTTTTTGTAATTATTATCTTCCCCAGTAAGGTCTGTAAGCATTGGATTAGGCCCTGTTTAGACGACAACGGTTTCTCTAAAAATGGAAGTCTGTCCTTTGCGTTTTAAAAAACTTCTGCGTTTATATGACAAAGTTATTGAAACGAACCCCATTCACAAAGAACCGCAAAATCTACTGGAAACGCTGTAGTATGCACGCCAGGCCAATGGGTGGCAGTGTAAATTTGCAAAGCAACACCACAGCATGACGCCATGCGCCTTCCTCTACAACGCGGTGATTACAAACCAAAACAAAGAAGACACAATGGCGAAAGCATGCACAGATTACTTTGTCTGGATGGACGACGAGGTGGAGTTGCTACAGTAACAGATCTACACTTCACTTCAAATCAACAGGGTGAGCAGCACAAACAGAGCTCGGCATTGTTGTTGTGAGGGTCGACTTTCTCACGCATGGCTAGTGACTGGAACCGTAATGCGCATGTGCAAAAAGTCTCCTTTTTCAGAGGAACTGCATATTGCAAGTTTACATGACAACGGAGATGCTGCCGTTTCCAAAAAATTGCTTTCTGGAACCCGTTTTCAAAACGTTGCGTTTTCAGGCACCCACCAAAACGCTGCTGTCCTGTAAACGATCGGCCAAAACGCAACTAAAGTTCACCGTTTTCAGCTGAAATTGTTGTCGTATAAACAGGGCCTTAATCTTCAAATAGACATCATCAAAAAATAAAATATTTGCCAGTTGCAGATTTCTCAGTGAGAGGGTTTCCTGCCCCCCGACCCCCCCCCCCCTTTTTTTATTTATTTATTTTTTTTAACATCATCATCTCCACCAGGCATAAACCAAGAGGGGATCATTCCTTCAGTTCATTGTTTGTATCTGTTTGTCTGCAGCTAATCACACATACTACATGTTGACATGATGAAAAACTCAAAAACAATTTTTGCTATTTTCACCGCCATCTTAACTGAAAGGGAGTCAGGAGGGACATTTTACCAGGTGCAGCTGCTTCCTGGTGTGTTGTGTTTGCTGCATGGCGTCATAACACACCAGGAGCGTTTTTATTTTTTACTTTAATATATGAAGCAGTTAATCAAGAAATGCAGAATGTAATGGACATGTTAATGGATAATGAAGGTTGATAATAAATGGTGGTGGTCCCACTGTGTGCTGTGTGTCAGTGTGTGAAGGCGTTGGTGTACTACGACGTCCAAACTTGCCGCCTGGACCTGCAGAACGATAAAGGCGACACAGCGCTGCACATGGCGGCCCGCTGGGGCTACGAGGGAATCATCCAGGTGCTGCTGGAGAATGGAGCAAACACGGACATCCTCAACAAGAACAAAGACTCCCCGCTGCAGTGTGCTCTCAACTCCAAGGTCAGCAACACACACAGGGAATAAAATGTTCTGAGAATATTAGTGTTCAGTGTTGAGCCTCAAAAGGAGGCAGCAGGCAGGTTTTCACTCTGCAGGAGCTCCATACAGTTTAAGCTCTTAGAAACAGAAAGCTCATCTTAATAGTCAGTATAATATATCGTTTTGAACAATTCTGGTTCCTTTGCTGAGGCTGACTCAGGTGTGTTAAAATTACACATGTTCGAGCTCCTCTGTCTGGATTTATTTCCAATTTTTTCCTGCACTCCTGCATTTTTTTCTGACTCTAAAGCAGTTTTACAGGTTTAACACTCAAAATGATGAACTTTGGAATCCACCAGTCTCTGTTAACAGCTCATAAAAACCTTAACACAGAAGAGACCAGTTAGAAAATGAACTGGCTCACGTGTTGGTGTGCAGCGACCTGAGGTTAAATCGATCTTTTCTCACATTGTCCTCTTCTCTCTGACCGGAAGTGTTTCCTTCTTTCTCCTGCTTTATTTGGTGTGGATGCTTCAGCAAATCCTCAACAAACTCCAGAGGATCAGAGGTCAGGTCTGCTGTCACAGCAGCCTTGGTCCTACTGGAGCCGATGTTATTCCTGGGCTTAGAGGAGCGCTTCTTCATGTGTCTGCCACCATTTTTTCTGTCAGACGTCTGTGTACTGACAGGTGCAGGTGTAACACGTGTCTCTCCTCTATACTCAGCAAACTCTCGCCGGAGGTCAAAAAAGTCTCTGAGCTCTGCCTTCAGCTTTTCTTGGGTGGGACAAACTGCAGAGCACTCACCTTCAACCTCCGACTGAGAGCATTGCTCAGCCTCCTCAACCTCAACCGCCTCCTGTGACATGCAGTCAGATGAAGCCAAGTCCTGTCCCAAATCCTCAACAAACTCCAGAGGATCAGAGGTCAGGTCTGCTGTCTCAGCAGCCTTGGTCCTACTGGAGCAGATCTTATTCCTGGGTCTTGTTCCAAAACAGCGCTCCCAGGAGCACTTGAATGCAGGCTTCATGTGTATGCAAATACAATAATAACAACTGATGATAAATAAATAAATAAATAGCAGCAATAAATAAATAAATAGAAATACAATGATAACACATAACACAGGTGCAGGTATAGCATGTGTTTCTCCTCTATCCTCAGCAAACTCTCGCAGGAGGTCAAAAAAGACTCTCAGCTCTGCCTTCACCTTTTGTTGGGTGGGACAAACCGCTGAGCACTCACCTTCAACCTCCGACTGAGCGCATTCCTCAGCCTCCTCAGCCTCCCACCTTTGGACAGACTGCATCAGGGCTTCAGTATCATGATAAGCCCTTTCCACAATCTCTGTGTGTTCTTTAGAGAGGACAAATGTCTCCCCCTGCTGCACTGTACAGCACCACTGGGGGTAAAAAAACCCTCTTCAGATCATCCCTCAGCGTCTCCCTGTAGGAGCCAGCCACTGAGGGTGTACCTCTGGCCAAATTGGTTTTAGCCCGTTCCTCTGCCTGCCACCTGCTGAATGCCTGCATCATCTCAGTAACAAACTGAAATGAGCAGTCCCAGGAGTCACAAAGCAGTTAGCAGTGAGCTCATAGGTCCAGGTTGATATTCACACACACACACACACACACACACACACAGGACTGAAGACATTTTACAAACAAAACTAGACAACCTGCTGCCCTGATCCCGTTTTGACTCAATTTGCACAAAGCTAGACATCCTATGTTTTTGAACTGGAATGCATATGAATTGAAGGTGAGCCTCGGCTCAATCTCTGTGAAGTTAACTGTCTATATTCCATTGGTATTATTCAACTTATCAATGATATTCATACCAACTGGACCCATTTCCACTCTTTCAACTAACTGAGCAGAGCGTTAGGTGAAGCTCAGCTCACATCCCAGCTCCATCAGCTGATCTCAAGTAGCCCGATCAGCTGATGGATAGAGGGGAGTCTGTCTTCACTAGGGCTGTAGTCTCCTGGTCGACCAGTCGATTATTTGGTCGATATGCTCTAGTCCGACCAAATTCTCAGTGGTCGAATAATCGCCGTGTTAGTTTTATAAGGAAAAAAGTGCTACATCAACAGCTCTCCAGGATTAATCCATTATTTCCTGTGGCGGGGGGACAGGCTAAGTTACCTGTGAAAATGGGGGCGTTGCTGACAGAAAGTTGAACTTGCCCACCCTCACTCACAGAACACTGACATTATAACCGAACATTTACTGCAGGGTCGCTACAGTAACTTAGCCTACACAGAGCAGTGGAAATGTCCGTGTAGCTGCAGACGGGTGCGGCTGGATGGTTGATGCGTACATGCTGATTCGGGTGCTATCAGAGCCAATCCGCGCATCACTATGGCTTAATAATCAACTCAGTCAATAAAAACAACTCGTCCTGTGTTAGGAGTGTATGTCGCTGTCAGAAAGAAAGAAAGAAAAAAAATTTAAAAGATAGAAAAGCAGTGTACACCTCACATATTTATTTCTCACAGTTGCGCACACATGTGGCTGGCATGCAGAAGCACCGTCTGTGTGTCTGTGTGTGTGTGTCAAGGGTGCGAGCCGCAGCTTCAGCTGCTCAGGTAGAGAGGCTGTGTAGCCCGGTGTGTTTTTTCACTGATTCGGTTCTGCAGGTTCTCTGCTGGTACACTGGAGACGGGGATCAAGCAGTTTGTCTCACTCGGGATAGATTGTGCTTTTTTGGTTCATAGTTT